TAGATGAGCAAAAATATATTACAAACGAATTTCGCATGACAAGAAAGCTTATACACATAAAATATCTTGCAAAAGATCGAAATTCAAGATGATCAATGTGCATATCTTGTTAACCAAGGTTTCCATTGCCTCATTAAAGTTTACAGTAACTGTGATATATGTTATAATTAGTATCTTCCTTCAGTAAGTGTCATATTTTCATACGTTCATATTCATCTTTTATGTCATATATACTTTTTTTCATATTTTAGTCTTAATCAAATATGTTATATGAATTTCCCTTAGGATAATAAAATCTTATCTTATCCTATCTCTTATAGAGTTTTTCTCCAGCACTTCGAGTGTTCCCCAGTTTCTGCGCTTGTAAGAAAAAGAGGATCACATGGTAACAATGGCGTCTACAGTTGAATTGATTAATATCTCGTTTTACTGGCACCAGTACCGACTCCTAATATATCTGGCTATGTTATTAACCCAACGAGCATTTGGGATTTGCCGAGGTTTTCTTATTGACAATTTCAGTTAGCTATTGCTGTGTGGTACGTACATCTTGCACATGATCATTGATAATGAACATTCGTCATACTTATTTCTTCAATGAATGAAGAATTTATTGAAACTTGTCATTAAAATCATATGCCATGTTATATTTGCACAAGTCCTTACGGAAGCCTAATGCTTTTGAAAATCGAACACAGTGGCTACATTAATCTGAGCAAGGATCCTTGCTACTTGGGAAGGCATATATATATACACACACACACACAAAGATCAATATTTTTACACAGTAATTTTACATGCCCAAAATGCACATAGGATAACCTTAAAAAGCTTGAAATAAAAGATTATCCATGTACATATCTTAGTAACTAAGGTGTTCAACGGCTTTCCCAGATGACAAAATATAATACAGGCTAATTTCGCATGACAAAAAAACCTCATACACATAAAATATCTTGCGAAAGATCGAAATTCAAGATGATCCATGTGCATGTCTTGTTAACCAAGGTTTCCATTGCCTCATTAAAGTTTACAGTAACTGTGATGTCTACATTAACGGGGCCTACTGTTGAATTGTTTACAGGCTGCCGACACCATGAATGGCATGTTGTTTTACACTCTTTCACTTCACATGAATTTGACAGTGATTACCAAATGTTAGATTAATAGTCATGATACACAATCTTGTCAGCTACTTGGGAAGGCATATATACACACACACAAAGATCAATATTTTTACACAGTAATTTTACATGCCCAAAAACACATGGCAAAAATACACATAGGATAACCTAAATAAGGTGTTCAGTGGCTTTCCTAGATGGGCAAGAATATATTACAGAATAATGTTACATCATGACAAAGAAAACTTATGCAACAAGTCCAAAGACATCCAAAATCTATATACACCGTATTTTCATGTGCAAACAAAATCAGTCAACAGACCTATTGCACACAGGGATCCATGTGAAGTTGAAAGCTTTGAAGGGCTCTTTAGTTGAGGTATTCTTGAATCCAGCTATTGTGTCCTCCTCTTCCTTTGGACAGACACCTGAAACATTCAAGAACAAAATCACTATAGACATCTGTCAGGAAGAATCTTGCATATAAGTCCCGAAATTGTGCAGACTGTTTTTCAATCCTTGAATGTTCAGAATTCAAAGAAGCAACATTTGTTTTGCTGTGGCTGGGAATATGCCGAATATGCATTATGTCTATATTCTATTCCCTGATTCTCTACTGAACAAATGAATCGAATCATTTTCACATCATACTTGTTCAAATGAAGCTCATGTGTTCAATAGGGCAATCACATTAGCTTAATGTCAAGATGACTCACAAAAATACATGTTAGGAATAAAACTATGAGTCTAGATTATGTTGCATTATACATAAAAGTATGTATTCACGAACCTGGGACTTCCTGGATATTTATCGGTGACTTTTCTGCTGCCAACAAATTTTCTGGTAATCTCCTTTCTTCCATTGGAGCAGCATTGAAGTTTTCAAAGTCCTTAAAATCTACTTCAGGATCAACTGTTGTGGACAGTGACTGTAGGTAGCGTTCCCAGTCATCTATTTCCGAAGGTTTAAGGCGAGCCGATTCTTTCCATTTGGGAAGATCTCTGTACATGGATCTTGTAATATCCTCGATGGTTGTACAGAGTGGCCTTACAACAGACAGATGTGGGTTCATACCTGTCAAGTTCATCGGGATTTCACGGTACATTTCATCTGGTAGAGGCCAGTCTTTGTAGGCCAAAGTAAGCTGGCTGCCTTTCATGTATATCTTGAAAATGTGGGGGATAGAATGTCCTCTAAATGCATCGCAGCCGGAAAACATGGCTCTGAAATCCCAGACAGATCGTAGCAGTTCTGAATGGGAGTTCTCAGGTCTATATGCAGTTTTCAAAACTTCCAACAACTTGCCAACAGTTGGAGCGGACTTGTGGTGGAGGGCTTGGGAGAATTTTGAAAACATCTGGTCTATATCTTCGTGTGTATGACCAACCATTAGGAAGTTCAGCTTTACCTTAAAGGAATAATAATTCATTTTAACAATAACAGAATCTCTTAAATGCATTATCCGTTAAATAAGATTCATTAAAGCTATTACATATTACTTCACTGCAATTATTATGTCTTACCTTCTTGATCATTTTTAGCTGCACGAGATACCTGAGGAAATATAGCATTGTCAATGTTCTTGTTGTCTTTAGGGCTGTTGTCCCCTTGTATGTACAACACTTCTGGAAGCCCACCTCCTTTACTCTATAGGAAAGAATGTGTCATTTAATTTTACATCATGTGAGTGATAACTAGAATGAAACCATGATATCAAATGCTGAAGCCATGGCTTGCTTAATCATGAAAGATTATTTAAGAATGTGTAACGCTGTTCGGGTTGGACACAAGGTCTGTCTTGTGTGTAGGTATTCAATTTATCACCCTTCGTTGATTGCTCGATTTGTTCGTTTCAATTATGAACAGATGGTGTAACGTATTGAATGATGTAAAGAATGATCAGAATGGTTTACTTTTGATTGATGACATATTTGTTTGCATTGATGAATATTCAATTATGTGTATGCTCATATACAAATGTACATCATTCTTAGCTAATATATACCAAACATAATATTTCCCACACCTGTGCTATCCTCTGGAGAACTGTAAGAAGAACTGTACACAGGTCACGTTACAGTCTCCAGGCAGTGCAGAGTTCCACACATATGCATAGGACTTCTCATTACCATGATCCAGAACGCCTGTCACATGATGCTTCATTCGTGTTAGACCAACGTCAGCCTGTGGGTGAAATATGGATTTGTAGATAGTATTCAATACTGCTTTTATACCGTCTTCGTTTGTCAAATTGAATATAGTAAACAAAACGCTCATAAAGTTATGCATATGTTTCAACCTAATAACATCCATTCTGATTTGGAAAGTGTACAGAATTTAAAGATCTAATTCACATCAAGTACTTTGCTCCAATCCAAAGCGTCATAAACCTTACATACGTTGAACAAAACTATTTCTACTGTTAGGATCGTTTGATAGTGTCTATGTGCCTACATAGTATATCTTAACATAAACAACATCACGTATAACAAATAACAAATGGCACACAATTGTGAGAGGCCATTTGTGGACTAAGGGGCTGGTGATGAAGCCAATACACAAGGGTGCATAAGCCAATAAACAACAAGCTGATAGGGTTTATGGTTTGATTAGTTCTTCATAGACCATTGGTATGTAGTACCCTGGGTCTTTGTTGATCAAAGGTTTATGGCGGCGGATTTCGATGGCTTCCTAACCATTTCTTTTTGTGAAGTCCTGATTCTTGGTTAAGAGGATTTCCTATTTGTCAAACTGGTTCGTAATTAGGAGATGCCAGTTGGGGACTAAGAACAACAAATGGGACTTGTAATGATAATGAAGCCAATAAACAAGAGGGAATAAGTTGTAACAAAAGTTTTTTTTGTTTTTGTGAAGTCCTGATTGTTGGTGGAGAGGATTTCGAATTTGTTAAACTTGATTTGATGGGTATGGAATTTCTGTTGATGATCTGAGAGGGCTTATTTGCTGTCAGCTTTGGCAGTTGAGATTGTGTGTACAAAATGGTATCCAGGTTATAACCTGTAGAGTAAAAATACATATTAAGTCTTTTCTGAGTATAGTTACCGCAAGTAAGAAAATAGTGTAGGACGTTTTCATATCCACAAGAGCAACATGTACTGTCTATTAAATGCCTGATTTACTTATCAGCGTTTAGGTCGTCACTTCATCCGAGCCTGAGGCGGCAGTGAACGATTTGGCAAAAACGAGTGCCATAATTCAGGTCATTTTCGGTCTTTGTAATTATTTTTTTTTAAATTCTGTGAGACTTCATGACTCTTTGGAACTTGGTAGGGCTTTCCACAAATTTGTCGGGTGAAAAGGATTTGGCATAAGAGGCAGATGTCCTTTTATGTACTTTGTATTTCTTTGTAGCTTCTAGTTCCGGAGACGAAGTTTGGGATCAGGTCACAAAGATATTTTGGGAATTGGTTATTGTACATCTTGAAGAAAAAGATGGCAATACCTTCTATATTTCTCGTAAAGTGGGACTCTTTAATGCAACTATTACCATCATATGGTAAAGGAAATATAGGATATCATGCCTCATTTACCTTGGATTGTCTTGGGAATGCTGGCAGGCTTGACTTTTGTTGATCCATGTTGTCAATTATGATAGAAGAATATTTCTCAGGGTTCTCTCGGGTTTTGGAGATGTGCCGGTAGTATTTTTCTCTTGAAAGGCTAAAATACAGTTTTGAATAATGAGTACTTCTTATTGATAACCTTGAAATCCATATTTCTTACAAACATAAAGACACACACACACACATGCATACACACACTAGCGATATCTTTCAACACAGAAGAAGAAATATAGTTTATATCATACAATAGAGTGTCACATACTGCATTTCATTTAAAAGGCCATTACATTATTACAGGGATTTAAAAGCAGCATTCGGCCAAATGGCCTATGAGACACATGTAGAATCACAGTTGTATAAAAACACTGGTAATAAAATCACACCCACACATAAACACACGCAACCCCAAACATGTACACGAACACAAACGCACACACACAAACGCTGCGCAAGCCTACATACACGCGTGTATAAGTACACACACATTCACTTTCTCACAATAAAAGTATAAATTATATAAATAGAAAACATATTGATGAGTGAATGCTGTCATTGATATTAGAATAGATTACACTATTACACAGATATTAAGAGAATCTATCCTATTTTATGCTGTGAGTTAAAGTTCTAAAATTAATCTTCGCCTCGACATTGTTTAGGCGATATATTATACCTTTGTAAACATACCTTTGTAAATTGAGGTGTGCCTTTAAACCCTCTTTCAACTCTTTCTGTTCTTCTTTTTGATGGCTTGCATAGCATTGCATTGTGGTAGTCCAGACAGTCTTTGCACTGTGTGAAGTCTTTACACTGCGGGGATGATAACGTATATGATCAAAATATATTATACAGATTTAACTTCACCTATATTTACAGCTATAACTTTTGTTCATAAAATCTGTATCATTTTCTGTGTCAGCGATGTTAGTAAACAGTTTAAGGAGCTTCCCTTTTCATGGTGGCACTGAAATGAAATATCAACAAACATTAACTACCTTTGGTATTGTCACGTGGTTAAAGTGTTCGGACCACATTTGTAGAAATCTGTTGTATTTCAAATAGATTGATCCATTCATGCTGAATTCTTCTTGGTATTCTTGCCAGATCGCCCTCTTCGTTAGTGTTGAAGGCAGCTGAATTTGTACCCTGTGTGGCATTGGGTCTCCAAATCTGTGAACAAATAACGGCCATGTCAGGTTCTTCGTCGACTTTTAACGCAACTAGAGTAACACGACAGCACACTTTCCCCTATCCCGATTATTCCCCATTACGATTGACAAAAACCTTTAACACATTCCGAATCACATTTAATCTGGTTCAGCTAGCACCTTCGTTCACAATCAAAACAACCTGGGATACCACTAGTACTTGACTGCTGAATACCACATCCATTACAGTTGAGATCGCGTAACACTAAAATGCCTAACGCTTGGAGAACATATATAATTCCGCCTAACAAATACCAGAAATGGACATGTTAACATCCCAATATTTATATAAATTGAATAGATATGTTATGCACTAAATATTACAGGACGAGTGGGTTTTGTGATATTTTACTGCCAAATGAGATCCGATCTGATAAAGTCAATAAAGCACTTCCAATCAATCGTTCAAATATTCACTGCCTTGAGGCCAAAGTTACCTTCTGGTAAAACGGGTTAGCCAGAGCTTTGCTGCTAAAAACCGTTTTGTGTCGTAGCATAAATCTTTTCGATGATCTGGACTGGCTGTGACGAGGCCTTTCCTGACATCTGACAGTGCGCTGTAATACCTAAGGGAAACGTATAACATGGTGTATACAGTACACTTGCAGACCAAAGGGTTACCCCTAAAAGGGACCTAAAAGGAACATACTATATATTCCTAACCTTAGAAATGTGAACAAGCAAAGAAAATAATGAAATTGCATTCCCACTGACCTTGATTTGCTAATCGCAAAGATTAGTCGCCAACACTTCGGACACACCGAATGGCCTTGAACTGTGAACATGATGTTACATGCGTCCTGTTCTTGGTAGAAGCTGAAAGTAGCCTCTAATTGTGACATGATGTATTGTCTCTGTACATCTCGATCTTTGTCCCAAAAGTACCTTCTTTTCTCCAACACCTCAGAGCTAGTGAACTTGTCCAGACACTTCAGGTCACACGTTGTCCTAAATACCGCTTGAATACTATCATTTTTCAACAGCTTTTCTCGCCTTCTTTCCTGGTTTGTCCTAGAGCAAAAAGCAGGTGAGGACCTCACTATAGAGACATCTAAACAGTGAAGATTCCACAGATGTTATTGTGATTAAATAGCGAAGCATCTGAAAACATCTATTTTGGACAGCAGTTGTGTGGATTTAAGCAAGGTAACACTTACTTGCAATTGGTTTCCTTTTCCGCCTCGGAATGACAACAGGGTGTTTCTAAGTCATTTGCACTTTCTTCATCTGCTAAGAGCAAAAAATGTAATTAAAATGTAGATATGGCTTGCAGAAATTCAGCTTGGTTTAAATGTGTACGTGTAATAAACATGCCCACAGAAAATGGTAAAGTTTGCTTCTGTCTGATAAATTCGTCAGATATCTATTATATAATACATGTATATATTTAGTACCTAACACAAGTATTCGATAGTATATAACACAAGCATTCAATAGTATATAATGTTACGACAAAACAGAAAATACTATATTTCAGAAAATGTGTATTTTTCTGTATGGAAATACATTTCCAGCAAATAAGACTTTGATTCCTGAATATACCGTAAATTAGCATAGTTCCTTTGGATTTTGAAAATTATATAACTTTGCGCAGATGATTTGACAGGTGTCCAATAACTCAGCATAGCAATAAAATCAGTACTTCCATTCTGTGCAAAGCAACTCTTCAAAGTCTTGATGGTCGAATAAATCTTCTGAGAAGAGGGTATAGTCAAAGCAAATGTCATCTAAATCTTGTACAGCTGTAAAAATAACGAAATTCAGTCCTAATCTCGCTACTGAGTGGTCAGTGAAACTCGAATTTGTTTATTATATTTGGTTAAAACAATAAATGAAACATTCAACTTTATGGATGACAACTTCTGTTTATTCCGTTTGAGCGACGTTTTCGATGAAGATTCTTACATCGTCATCACTTTTAGCCTGATAACGATGTAAGAATCAACATCGAAACGTCGCCCAACGGCATAGAAATTGTGTGTTTCATTTGATGTCTCACCAACATCTAGAATGCCGATCAAACAATTAGTTAATACAATAGCTTAACTTACTACATAACAAAACAAAAGTATACAAAGTAAGTGGCCATGGATACTCGCTTCAGCTACAAATCATACTTATGGATTTATCAAAATGGATATAAGTAGGCCTGTGGACCTTTTAACCCGTTAATAATTGTCAGGCCGGGAATGTCACATTTCAAAAATGACTCTTGCCAGGAATGCCCACATGTCAATAACATGCAATAGATTAATTACTTGGATTACCGTAACCGGTAATAGACTGTTCCCACACAAAAGAAACGTTACCCTCCTACCATCTATGAATTACTATCAAAAATATGTTAGAAGGTATTAGTTTACAAGAAAGCTTACCAACTTGTCAGCTAAACAACAAATCACCAACCAAATTCTCAAACGAATTCATACTGCATCTTTTTCAGAAGAGTTAAATTGTCCTAATTTCCACCATGACGAAATAAACCAACAACAGTGATTTAGATGTCCAAAAGAAAGACAGAGATAAACCATTTAAAGTCACAATTTTTCAATTATTAAAACAAGAAACAACTGTTTTAGACTGTAAAATTGTAAAAGAATCATTCCTATGATTTCAGTCTTTAAAACATGTTCTGCTGATTTGAATTAGTGAAAACAAGTACAATATTGTCTTTGATATAGTGAAAAGTGTTAAAAGAAAACACCGAAAATGACCTTTGCAGCAGCAAGTTTCCATACTGAAATGTACACATGGCAACAAATTAAACCATTATCATTTTTAAGTTTTTCAGATTTAGATGTTTTAATGGGATGCGATAATATTATATGTAATATTAGTATATTATATTGTGCTAATTATAGAAATAAAATCTCTTTGTGATCTGAATAAATTATAGAGGAAACATGTCATGTTTTGTTAAATCACGGTAAACCGTTTTAGCAATCACTAAATATGTTTTGACACCATAGCCGAGAGCCACATTCCATGTTCACGCAACCACAACTATTGCCGGAGAGCCACATCAATTTTGGCCATCTGTTTCGAAATGTGGGTCTCCCCGCCTGTAACCATTTGTGACACTAGTCGCGTGAAGTGAGGACGAGCTGTACGCGTTCTATTTAATAGCATTATTCAAGGGTTTTCTCCAGCCGCAATATCGCAAAAACGTATTGAGTAATATCTATAATGCAAGCGATAAATAAATTCGAATATTGTAACAATAACGTAAAGGGCAATTGCTCGTTTGTGGGTATAAACGTATCTATACAGTCACTTACCAACGCAGTTCAAGTCCTTGTGAGTTCTGGCTTCTTGATTTGAGGGGCGCCCGATAACTGCATCTGTCATGGCTTCAAATGTGATTTCTTCCATAAAGGAAATAGGAACTAGGAACATAAGTCAACATGTGTGAAATTCGCAAATCGAAGAAACAGTTTTTCTTTAGCAAAACAGTGATGAAGATTGTCAGAAGGAATCACTGGATATCATATATATGCTACTTCTTCATCAAGTTGTTGAACATCCATTTCTGGTCCCTTTGATGATGATGATTTGGAGATTTAACGCGCTTTGATGCCTTCTCCATCCCATAACAATATATAATCGGAAGACATTAAGTCAGCCGATAAAGTGATTTCCCCAAACAGAATTCCCATTGGTCAGAGTTCGACATCTCATGTAATAAAACAATCAACTGACATTACAAATGATTGTGAGATATTGAGCACGTAATGCATGACATGAATCTTTTCGCCTAAATACCTGCACCTGCACCTGTATATGCCACAGCTAGTGTCACTTAATTGCCCAGCGTGATCAATGGAATGAAGCAAAATACACTTAAAAACGTCGGCTCGTTTACTCCAATACACAAGACCAAAACATGGACAGACCGATTTCTTTGCTGGCGCTCGAGCTTTCCTGAAATTACGTAACTGGACCGTTCCCATCTGTGGCCTCATGTTTGCACTAAAATACTCAACAAACTGAGATGGTACACAGAAATGTACGATTGTAAACGAGATAGTGGCAAACTAAATTAACATGTTGTGGATGATAACAGCACTAACTTGAACAAGTATTTATCACATTTATCTGCAATAAATAGTTATCTGTGCAGAGATCATTTAACATAAGGCACATTTGAAACAGTAATGACGTTGCATGATGTATATGGTTATTGTTTATTTTCGGCAACCTGTGTTATGTAAACAAGCATTTTGTGCTTATTAACAATTTCAAACTTCGTGGATCCATAAAAACTTGTTCCATAAGGTTACAAATAAGCAAAAATGATTGACAACTCATGTGTAAATATTTTAATGAAGCATGTGTCATCAATAAAATGAAGGAAAAGATGCAATTAACAATATGATGATAAGTGCTGCAATGAAAACAAGTGAACATACAGGCACACAAGAGTTCTAGCATTTACATTTAATATATCCATTTCAACACTTTTGCTTAAAAGAAGTCTAGACATTTCTAGATCTTTATCCGTGAGATGTAAAAGAAGGCATTTTTTCTGATTTTACTATATTTAGTTCAGTTGTCAATTTCTACCTCCGTAATATACATCAAAAGTAAATATTACATTTATTTTGTTCTTTGAAAAGTATGAAATGTCTAGCCTCGAGAGGCAGTGAATTCCAGAGTTTGATTGTGTCTGAATGAATGATTTGGCATATCTTATTGTTGGAATATGCTTTTTAAATTAGTTCAATCACGTAAGGGATAAATAACTATTATCCCCGACTAATTGGGGTAATAGATTCTACAGATAGTCCGTAATAAACGATGATACATTTTATAAAGTGTTAGCAATTTATAGTATTTTCGCCTTTCAATCAACTTGAAGTTTCTATGATATATTATTTCATATCTTGTTCTACTGGACAGCACCAGCTATTCTTCTAAGGACATCTAAATGTAGTTTTTCTAAAGTAAGAGCTTGCTGATCTGTGCAGTTGTCCCAAATCCAAATATGAGCAGAGGAATGAAAAGAAGGATGAATACAAGATTTGTACATGGTGTATATATGAAATGATAGAAAACCGTTTTGAGCACAACTTTGAACCTACTTACCTATGTATTTTTAATAAATCAAGATAAACCGATTTAAAGCAACCGTATTTTGCATACATTGAATAAACGTTTCTAAATGTTTAAAGCAGGAAACAGCCGATTGGAGACCCATATCCTCATTAATGGTTAAGTGTGTTTAGCAATACTTGTTATCAAATTAGGGTCTGACTCAATTCAATATACAAGACGTACATGAATACAAATGGATTGACCAGCATTTCCCTGACAGCGATGATGAGGGGTATAAGAGTGGGCTTGTGAAGTAACAACTTCCTTTGAAACGTCTCGTATATGCTTACAACCATTAAAACGTCTCATTAATATATAATGACACTTGGCGACGTTCCCGTCACTTATCATTGACCGACAGTTGACGAAAATTGGAAGGAATGGCGATGCAGTGGCAGCTTGGATCTTCGGTTGCACAGAGTTCTCACATTTGGATTGTTCGGGTTGGAAAGAGGAATGTCAGGTTCTGGTGTTGTATCCGTTGCGTCCCCCAAAAAGTTACAGTTGAAGTAAGTTAATTTCTATCAGAAACTAGGTTTGTATTTGATCGTATTTATTCGAGATATGTTCATCAATGGAAATTCTTGATGCTAAAAACAAAATGTACGCCATGCAACTCCGTGTCTACGTAAGCTCTAAAATGCACATAACTAGAGGAAAATATTGGATAATATTCGATAAGGGCGTTAATCAAGTTATAAACCTTTAATTTCCTTGAGTGTTATGTGTTTACCATTGCAAATTTCAGCTAGACAGGTGCATCAAGGGTAATGTGAAAGAAACTGAACTCGTTGGTGACGAAGTACATGGGAAAATGACAGCTTCCCTAGATGAGTTAATCGACCGTGGCTACTGACGCGGCAAAATTCGCTCGGACTTTGAAGTTTTTAATGATTAACGGGAATATCAGTTTCACAAAGGTAAGACGAACAAACTTAAGCAAATCAGTATGAGATGCTTGATGGCATTTAGTAGGTATTGATTTACATCTTCTTTTATATTTACAACACGATGTTTCTGGGCTGCTTCTTGCCCCTTCATCAGTTGAATGACAGAATATGATTACGAGAAAAATATATATACTGGGCAAAAATAGTGAGGGATATATATGTAAATTTTGAAATTATGAATAATGATCTATATATTCATTTACATATGGTTAAAAATTCACATTCACAAATATCCCTAACTTATTTTGTCCAGTATAGTATGTACAGGAAGCCAGTGAGATTGTATTACAAATTGATATGCTCAGAGATCAAGGGAGATTAAGTAATGTGTTTTGATTGAGATGGACAGACTTAAAGAGTGATATGTTTATACAATGAATGTACATAAAGTTTATACAATGAAAAAGGATTGATATACATAGCACATACATGAAAAAACACATAAAAGCATGTACAGTGAACATGGGGAAACATGTATATTGAAAGCTTATCATTCTATGCACCACGATTCGGTAGGAAAACACCCTAATCCCTGTTAATTTCCAGGTTTTGGCGGTGGATCCAGATGGCCTCCATTAATCCGCTAAATCAGTATGGTTTCAATGTTAGTATACATTAATTTGGCTTATTGTGAGTAGTTACACACAGTCAAAGCAGGAATGACATTGCATGTTAACTTTTGTAAAATTGTGTAATTGTTTAGTGGCATGTATTATAATACAACTTGTTTAATAAACAGAACAATCCGCGACGAGCACGGCAGTTTCTGTTGAACCAGTAGGCTTTGGAGGAATCACCCGGACATCCATGGCGAGGGGTTGGACACCAGCGATCTTCTGCCGCTGTGGAGGTACTTAGACCACTCCAACACACTTTTGTGATCGTATGACACTGTCAACTCAGTGCTTACATCTATTCCCACAAACACAAATGGAAATCCAACCAATACTGACCACTTTACAAACTTTATAATTGTAGACATTTTGGAGACTCCACCCAGCTAACCCCTAATTTGACACTCATACAGGCAGCATTCTGACTCCAAACATAAAGAATGGAGAGCGAAATGCATGGCAGCCGTGGGCCTGGAATCGGAGAAGGTATGTACATGTCAAGAGGATCAGTCAGTAGTATCACGGATATTGATTAATATGTCAGCTAGTTGCGGGAATGGACGGCTTCTATTTCCCTTTGAAAAATATTGATAGTAATAACAAGTTATCAGAGCCGCACGTGATCGAACATGCTCATTCAGATGAGATACAGAGTTTTATTCTATTTAGACATACTTTGGGGGTGCCTACAAGGAACACCTGGCAGTTTTGGTGGATGTCTCAGAGGTGTTATGATGCCGCTGTAAACATCATCACAGACACAGTATCAACATAATCAACTCCCGAAACAGACAGCAAGGGCCGATCAACAGGGCGTTGTTTAAAAGAAATACCTGGAACACGGACGAGGGAAGCCTTGTAACAGAAATTGATTGACTTCAGGGATGGAAGGACCGGAAAAGAGAACTTTAACCGGACTCTTAAAAATAATGAAAAAGGGAAAGGTTTGAATTAGTTTTAAATTACTGAAGTTTAGTTGAGGAAATATATGCTCCACATATATTATGGATTTGGGATTACAAGATGACATGATACATTATGTTGCCTTCACACCAGGTATTATATATAGATCCACTGGGCAGACAGACAGAGACGCATTACCACACACGCACAAAACACACACACACAACTTGATGACCGAAAGGATTTTTCATTACAGACACAAGACGGATTGACCTTGAAAAAGGAGAATGAAAAGTTAAAACAAGAACTGAAAAGGCAAGAGAAAAGGATTGCGTCCTTGGAAACAGAAATCCAGATACTGAAGGTAGGCAGAATATTATTCTCCGAAACTAATGTTCTTATCGCCATACTCGACATGTTCTTCATGCTGTTTTGATATGCAATGTTAAATATTATTTCAGTTGGTGCTTCTCATGGCATTGACCTGCCACAAATAGAAACAAGTAACGTGAGTACTATGCACATCTGCACAGATTATCAGACTGCACAGTCATCTCATTATAGAACATTACACTCCTGTAATGATAGATAACACATACTTACAAAGTGCCTGGTCAAATGTAACAAATTTCTGATTACCGGCACACCATTCTAGTTGACGTCAAGTTCGTACTCATACTCGACACTGGTTACTTTTAATGAAGGGCTTCTCAAAGACGCAACAGATTTCACGTTATTACTACCATACAGTTCACATACAAATAAGAGTGGCATGGTATACGAAGATGTTTTTAACATTTCTTGATGTGAAGATTATTTACATGAATATTTTATCTGCAGATTTCATTACGAGTTTCAATCCGAAGATTTATTTCCCGTGGTATGTATAGCGACTTCCGTGTATAGTCGCGTACCGCCATTGTGTAACCTGCTACATATGTTAATGATCACGAAAGGAGTTGTCATGGCAAAGATATTGGCATTTTTCAACGTTTGATTGGCATTTGGAAGTTTAAGGTTATTGTAAAGATAACATATACTTAAAGTACTAAACCTTGTGCCATAGGTTCTTCGATGAGTAACGAAAGTCATCTGTACTTACAGGAGACTGATTTGGAAGCAGAACCCTGACATGAAGCAAGCTGGGACGAGAATACGGTATGTGAGTCTTGTATTCCACACACAAATGAGTACCACCTATATTCCATAGCTAATGACTTCTGAATATTTTCTTGAATAAAACTATTTCCATTCATTTCGTTACAAGGCAACGGGGACAACAGCACGAGCAGGTATTATGACACTCATTATACAGCATCCTCGGATAAAACAGGGGTCATAAGCCATAGCAAGCCATCAACCAATAAAGAATAGCTGATCTAATGTTGAGTATTTTCAGAAAGAAAATTATTTAATTCATTCTTAAGATGAAATCATTTGGATAACTACAGATCCTGGTTCCTCAAGGTTAATTTGACTTTCTAAATGGTACATATGTTATCTTTGGGATTACATTTTCTTAGTAAAAGCACAGATTCTAGTACTTTTGGGTTGAGTCCCATTCAGGATTCGAACCGATGTACCCTCAGGGTCAGGCACCTAATTGCTAGCACACAAAGCCGTGCCAATTGACAATTATCAGAGGGTACACAAGTCCGCGAGTCTAGACTACCAGCTGTCCGGACTTCCATTTTTGTGGGACGCTACTGCAGTGGCTGAGCCGGTCTAGGCGTCTGACTAAGCCGGTGTGCTGGCGATTAGGTGCCTGACTATGAGGGTGTGGGTTCGAGTAATCCCAAATATAACATGTTACATTTTGACCACTTTCTGAAAAATGGCATTGTGTATTTCATTTCTAAATAGCATTGTGTAATTTTCGTTGCGTTTAGGTTCAACGCTTTATCAAACAACACCGCAAGGAAAAGAAGAAACAAATGCTGTGAGTCTTGCTTCTCTGTACATGTTGTCACTCACAACATCATGCCCGCCTCATTGTGAGCTACTAAAGAGCGATTGATCTGTATCATAAATTATAATTATGTAATGTGTGAGACAGATTGTTTAATCTTTAAATCTGGTGCTATGACATTTTCATCATTAGTGGATGATATTGTAATGAACAAGCCAACTTTGTAATGGGTGCATACCCGCTTAAACACACAACATCATGCAGAGCGTTTTTTAATTATCAAACGGCGTAAACAGTAATCCAAAAAGGCATTATCATCAGAGGAATGCCATATGAATATAAACTCTACCTGCGCTCATTATTTGTATTTGATTATGTTTCAGACGACTGGAAAATTGATGGAGGCGCAAAGATGAAGACACGGAATGTGGTAAGAATCTCCCAGCTATATATCTGCTGTCAGGCGGAATCTGATGCTGCTAGTTTACAGCATTGATGAAAGACAGTGCAGGCAATTCCGAACCCACAGTTACCCTATAATTTTACGCATGGCTTCTTCTGGTCGGTGCATTTAAAAAATAATTGCTGAGACGATATGTAAGATACTGAGTAATACCAGCACACGTGACATGGGCTTCTGTTCGATGTCTTCTCATTATGTTGCATTATATTATCAGGTTCAAGGTAAAAATTATACAGGAAGGAAATTCTCGTGGTGAATGTCCATTGGATGAACTATTCAAAAACACTATGATTCGTGGATAGAGACGAGCCTCTCATCAGACCCATCAAGCCAAAAGGTTAGTATGATCTCAAGGAATATATTTTTCAAGATGATTCTCAAATATGACATGTAGTACCAGCCATGACTGACCCGACAAGACTTCTAGTCTTTTTAGATGCAGTTTTAAATACAGTTGCAGTGAATTGAGATTTTTCACCAAGAGAAGTGATGTTTATATATAGTTATGTTATGTAGTTATGCAGTTGATGAAAAGCTGTAAGTAAACAAAAATAGATTATGTTCAATTTGATGGCATACGCTTGTTGAAAAAAGCACTTGTATTAAAAAATTCCTTTTCCCATTAGACAGATTTTTGTCCCACTCTGCATTGCTAGCCACAGAAAAAAAAGATAATTCACAAATCTGCGCTTCAGTTTGCAGAAAGGGGACATGATCAATATGCCGTTACAACGTAACGCGGCAGGGACAATGTATCCAGCAACAGTTGTAGCCGCTGATGGGGTAATGCGTCTATTATATCATTAGGTTTACTTAATGTATTAACATATCTTTCTACTGTTAGATTTGTCGACATTGTAAATAATATTGTGCATCGTATTATAATCCAGTAACGCACATCTCTTCCATTGGTTATTCTTTTACTCTGTTATATTGAACAACGAGGATGTGACATCATTTGCTTGATAACGGTGTTAGTAGCTACAATCAAACGTCGCCTCATAAAAGAAGTTGCATATCCATAACTCTCCTCGTTGATCATCACACCAACTGCTAAATGCCACTCAAACAAGCTCTGTCATATTGTTTCAGACAAGGTGTTTCTTCGTTATGAAGTTGGACTGGAAAAGAAAATTCACCAAAGATATGTAGAAAAAAGAAACTAATGTGGGACCAAGAGTGTATACAGTATATGGTCTATATGTATTGAAACATAGATATCTATTCTGCATTTTATATCATTTTCTATTTGGAACCTTTTATCATGTGTCAAATATGAACATTTTACCTTGATATACACGTAGGGGTTCCCTTAAAAACGTGAATTATAATATATATGTATGTATGTATGAATGTGTGTGTGTGTGTGTGTGTGTGTGTGTGTGTGTGTGTGCATCACAAATTCCAGTATGCCAAATGCCCATAAACACATTTTGTATTTGCAAGTATATACATTCATGAATAAATCATTTTAACCCTCAAAAACGTTTTTTACTTGACGCTATTTGCTTAGCCTAGTGGATGCATCTTAAAGCAAAAGAAACTTCGCTATATGCAAAATTACATAGTGAGATGGATGTTGGTGGATAATGGTGCTGACCGCGATGTCACTGTAACACCACAAACTGATAGTTTCTATCTTTGGATATGATTGTTTTAATGAAGTGAGGACTATTATTATTTGCGTGCGTGAGGCGTTTGTAGGTGCATGTGGGTGCATAACGAATAGTTACATGCAGAATATGCTAACATTTCTTCTGGCTGGCGAAATGTTTTCTATCAGCCCTAAATTAGCCGAAGTAAGCAACAATGAGCTAAAATATGTGTCATGATACTCATTTACAACCTTTAAACTTGAAAACAACCATGATTTTGAGCAAAATAGAAAATCTCAGCTCTAAATTAGCGACTAATTTAAGTCACAATGAGTTGAAAATTGTGTCATTATACTCTACATACACGTGCTTTCATTCATTTTACAACCTCTAAACTTGAAAAGCATGATTTTGAGCAAAAGTAGAAACTCTACTTCCATGGGCCAAATGTTTTTCTACGTACATGGGCAAGATATTTTAATATCGGTCTAAATTAGTCGAATTAAGTCACAAATGAGTTGGTGTGGTGATACTTCTAAACATGCTTTCATTCATTTTACAACCTTCAAACTTGAAAAAACCCATGATTTTGAGCAAACATAGAAAATCTCGCCCCATGGGCAAAACTTTCTTCGCCCATGGGCTTAGATATTTTAATATCGGTCTAAATTAGTCGAATTAAGTCACAATGAGTTAAATTTTGTGTGGTGATACTTATAAACATGCTTTCATTCATTTTACAACCTTCAAACTTGAAAAAACATGATTTTGAGCAAAAGTAGAAAATCCTACCCATGGGCCAAATGTTTTCTCGCCCATGGGCAAGATATTTTAATATCGGTCTAAATTAGCCGGAATTAAGTCACAATGAGTTAATTTTTGTGTGGTGATACTTATAAACATGCTTTCATTCATTTACAACCTTCAAACTTGAAAACCCATGATTTTGAGCAAACAGAGAAAATCTCGCCCATGGGCCAAACTTTCTTTCGCCCATGGGCTGGATATTTTAATATCGGTCTAAATTAGCCGAATTAAGTCACAATGAGTTAAATTTTGTGTGGTGATACTTCTACACATAATTTCATTCATTTACAACCTTCAAACTTGAAAAAAAATGATTTTGAGCAAACATAGAAAATCTCGCCCATGGGCCAAACTTTCTTTCGCCCATGGGCAAGATATTTAAATATCGGTCTAAATTAGCCGAATTAAGTTGCAATGAGTTAATTTTTGTGTGGTGATACTTCTAAACATGCTTTCATTCATTTTCAACCTCCAAAACATGAAGTCTGAGCGAAATTAAACATTCTCGCCCATGGGCGAGGTAGTTTAAATTTTGAGTTTTTGAAAAAAAAAAATTTCATTTTTTCATCCTTAGCATATATTCATGACAACTGCATATTTAATTTTGTCAGATCCTTTGTCAGAAAGTGGCCACAGGGCGGAGAGTTTCTGGACTTTTATGAGTCCAGAATTAAATTGTGACGTGTTCATTGTTTTGCAGGACAATTTTAAACAATTTGATGTCAAGAATGAATGTTGATGGGCAAACGGCAAGTTTCTTTTAAGAATACAAGGTTGTATTCAATCATCTCTGGTAAGTTAATTACCAAGTGCAGCATTTTCATCATGACCATAGCAAATAATATATGACAGTAAAGCATCGCCTAATTCATCCTACCGTAATTCATAGTCTAATTAAATAATCAACTTGCAATTGAGGATTTTCTTTGAAAATGTTTAAGAAAACTTCCATTCCTTCTTCAAGTTGAAAATATAAATTGTTTTACACTTTTCGTCATATTTTGTATTGATGCTGTTCATATGTTCACATGCCAAGTTACAGCAGTGAAATGAACCTTTCAAGTGATTGATTAAACAAATACTTGAATCATTGAAGACAATATATCTTCCATATAACTTATTCATGTATTTAAATGTAAAATTTCAGAATGTGTCCTATCTCAAGGGAATGAGATGGGAATGCATCCGAAGCAAATTTCAAGAAAGAGTTAGGAACGTTTCTGACGTATCCACCTGACCGCCAGGCAGGGAGTGGCAGAAAGAAGAGGAGCTGATAATTGTGTTTTTGGAGTTGTAATTGTGTTGAAAAATCTGAACTGTGGTATTGAAATTGGTGGCGTAAATGTCACTTTGATGCTATATGCAGATGATATTGTGTTATTATCACAACTGAGATCACCTACAGACTATGTCATGTGTGATGTTTTACATTATGCATTAAACCACGTTTTCTGTGTAAAAGCGTGTGTGTTCATAAAGATTTCATGAAAAGTGACTTGTTTTATGTGCTGTCTTCAGGTATAGTTCCTGGTCATCTTGGATCCCTTTCATGGTAGAAAGTGAATTGCATTGTGTTTATTCAGGGTCTGTCTAAGAGCTGAAATTCAGACAAAATGTCTTCTCGGACAATTTTCACCTTTTCAAGGTAACAATACAACAGTAAATAGTTTTTTCTTAATTTGGAATACTCTTTTCTCCTTACATGAATTATACGTCCCAACTGACATAAAACTTAAATGAACATTATATTGAATGTGGAATTTTAACCAAGTATTTTATCAGGTAAATATTTTACTGCAATTTTCTGTTTGAACACTGTTTATTGCAGGTAGCTTTTTGGGTATTTTAGCTGGATGCAGGAGTTTGGTGCTACTTTATTGTAGTTTAAAGATGAAATGCGAGTCTATTTACAGGAAAGCGTAATACCTCCGATAATCGGTCAAACTTCAACATTAATTCTACGTCGGATATCTACGTAAAAAAAACTTTCATATACAACCTATTTTCAATCTATTTTCAACGTTGAGGATCAACCTTTTTTTCAACGCGTGATAATCGGTCAAACATCAACATTGATTCCACGTCGGATATCTACGTCAAAAAAACTTTCATATACAACCTATTTTCAATCTATTTTCAACGTTGAGGATCAACCTTTTTTCAACGTTGATAATCGGTCAAACATCAACATTGATTCCACGTCGGATATCTACGTACAAAAAACTTTCATATACAACCTATTTTCAATCTATTTTCAACGTTGAGGATCAACCTATTCTCAACGTTGATAATCGTCAAACTTCAACGTTGATTCCAATCGTTGATAATCGGTCAAACTTCAACGTTGATTCCACGTCGGATATCTACGTAAAAAAACCTTTCATATACAACCTATTTTCAATCTATTTTCAACGTTGAGGACCAACCTATTCTCAACGTTGACAATCGGTCAAACTTCAACGTTGATTCCACGTCGGATATCTACGTCAAAAAAACTTTCATATACAACCTATTTTCAATCTATTTTCAACGTTGAGGATCAACCTTTTTCAACGTTGATAATCGGTCAAACATCAACATTGATTCCACGTCGGATATGTACGTCAAAAACTTTCATATACAACCTATTTTCAATCTATTTTCAACGTTGAGGATCAACCTATTCTCAACGTTGATAATCGGTCAAACTTCAACGTTGATTCCACGTCGGATATCTACGTCAAAAACTTTCATATACAACCTATTTTCAATCTATTTTCAACGTTGAGGATCAGCCTATTCTCAACGTTGATAATCGGTCAAACTTCAACGTTGATTCCACGTCGGATATCTACGTCAAAAACTTTCATATACAACCTATTTTCAATCTATTTTCAACGTTGAGGATCAACCTATTCTCAACGTTGATAATCGGTCAAACTTCAACGTTGATTCCACGTCGGATATCTACGTCAAAACACTTTCATATACAACCTATTTTCAATCTATTTTCAATCTATTTTCAACGTTGAGGATCAACCTTTTTTCAACGTTGATAATCGGTCAAACTTCAACGTTGATTCCACGTCGGATATCTACGTCAAAAAAACTTTCATATACAACCTATTTTCAATCTATTTTCAACGTTGAGGATCAACCTATTCTCAACGTTGATAATCGGTCAAACTTCAACGTTGATTCCACGTCGGATATCTACGTCAAAAAAACTTTCATATACAACCTATTTTCAATCTATTTTCAACGTTGAGGATCAACCTTTTTTCAACGTTGATAATCGGTCAAACTTCAACGTTGATTCCATCGTCGGATATCTACGTCAAAAAAACTTTCATATACAACCTATTTTCAATCTATTTTCAACGTTGAGGATCAACCTATTCTCAACGTTGAAACAACGTTGATGTGCCTGCTGGGTTATCATGAAGGTTTTTTTTATGTAGGTGGCTTGAAACGCGCTTTTACGAAGGTTCGATCACATTAATATTGGTTTTACATCCTCTTTTCTCTTAACATGTCAAAACTGATTGAAATTCTAATCGCAGATAAAAGAATAAGACAATAAATAGTATGCCAAAATATCGTTACCATGACAACCTGCGATATTTCACCTCATGTAAGAGAGTAATAAATGTGATGCTAGGTATGGCAGCACTACTCTGCAGATGATAGTGTATATCGTAAATTTCAATAAGTTGCTGCAGCGCTATCCCTAATCACTGGGTATCTATACAATTATATGTGTGATGGAGGAGAACATGCGTCGCTACTTTTCTCAATAATCTGAATACGTGTATGTAGCGTGAAAACCGGCAGACACCTATAGAAGAAAAGTATTTGCCTCTACCTGTAACAACCATGTCCCGTGTCTATATATGGGAATGTTCGGAATGAATGACTTTATCTGGGCCCGTTTATGATGATACATATTGCGATCTTTCACAGTAATCTAACTGGCTATCAGATTGAGAGTACTTTCAAACATAACCTCTATTATTGTATTTATACAGCAACATTCTTCGAACTTTAAAATTTGTCCAGATACGTCCGCCAGATACATAGCACACTACCCCCTTCTCTCTTGATCTTCTCAAACGACCGAGGTTCCCAATTGCACAGATCGATGCTCATGCTGTTGATCACTGGATTGTCTGGTCCAGACTCGATTATTTACAGACCGCCGCCATATAGCTGGAATATTGCTGAGTGCGGCGTAAACTCAACTCACTCACTCACTCAAACGACTGTTGCAAGTTCGAAGAATCCTTGTCAAAGTAGAAAAGTCTTAAAGACTGTTCCCGTACAAATTTGTAACATACACATTGTACCCTAAATGGGTAGAGCTTCCGTTCGTGGAAGATCAGAAGGACAACGATACCATTATCTCCAACGTTGTAGAAAACACTCCACTTACTTTAGGAAAGCAATAACTCACTGAGATATTGCATTCATAATCAGGAATCAATATTTTCGGCACCTGTCCGATCTGAACTTGAACATGCGAGGTCTGCGTCTATGTCAGGTTAAAGGTCTGCAAGATCTTTAGCAACACTGGGGCAGCGTAATAGTCATAGGCCTGCTCCAAACAACGGAATATATATTTTTGTGAGAAGGACTTCTTCGACATGGAAAATTATAGCAATGCAACATCACATTTACTTGTGTGACATTTGCTTTCGGAATCTGGGTTACAGGCTTATGGATCGTCAATTTAAAACAGGACAGGACAATCCAGACGAATTTCACAAAAGGAACGGAGGTCCAACATGCCAATGGTATACTCAGAGAGAACGCACACGCTGTGCTATCCGGTCATAATCGCTATACGGTAAAACTATTTTTCATTTCATGTCTCACAGAATATATAATTTGATAATGCATTGTTTGTTATATCGTAAACGTTTGTAAGTTAATGAAAGAAATGTTGACAGCTTAAGTTCTTGTGTGGCGTTTTACAGCAAAGGCTGAGCGGAAAGAGAAATAACATGGTTCAGGCACTGTAGAGACTATTAAGAAAGGTTACATGCAGTGCAATAATATTCCAATTATGTACTGCCAAAACTATTTTACAGTACTGATGCGGAGAGCTGAAGAGACTTAAGAAATTATGAGTTAGGTTCGTGTAGCGTATTTTAGCCGTGGTCCAAGAGAAAGTGCTATTCTGTTGGGACAGCTAGGGACACTTGCAAGGACAAAGGGGAAGCTCATCGCCCTTTTGTTCACCACTCACAAGATTTGCCAACACAGGAGATAAAGCGTAACTGATACTGGTAGCAAGAGCGAGTGCAGCAATAAGCCATGTTAGCTTGTGTAACACTGCTTTCTTGAGCCAGGCCTTTTAATGATAAGAATAATGAGATCACGTGAACGTTGATTTCAAACGTACCTAAAATGTGTGAAAATGAAATTACATGAACCAAGTAATTCACATGATGGAAACAAACGATCATCTTGCTTGAGCACAGTGTAACATGAAGGTGTATGAACCGTTCATATACATACCCTGAAATCCGGTATGATACATAAATATCTAAGGTGTGTAACTTGTTTGCAAATTTAAATATGTTTCCCCACCTAAGCAGTTATATGTTTCCAACCTGAGTAAACTTAGAACGAAATCGTATTTCAGCACCCACTGAAATTCATATAGGAATGCATCGGAAATACTGTATGATCATGTATTTACCGGTATCTCTATTTTGCAATTAATGTTTGGAAATACCTGACAATCCGGTCACGGCATACATGAACAGGGTATTGCTATGCATACGAAAATGTACGATGAGCATATGTTTCAAAGGTATAGGTTCATATGAAATATATGCCCGAAGTTAGGAAATATCTGAAAACATACGTAAATCCGATCATGGCATGTAAATATCCTACTGTATTTATTTACGTTCATTTCAATGGTTTACTATCCGGGTTTTGGTCCTGTGTCCCTGCGTTATGTAAATTGAATATCTCTCACAATAGAACAATGCTTGCTGTCAATAGAAATGAAATCAACGCAGCTTGACCCCATTGTCGCCATGGCCACCATCGTAGAGTCATTAGAAAGTTAGACAAAGGCCGGTTGGCCACTGTTCCAAGCATGGCATTGTGGATGAGGTGCGGCACTGCTGCGATCCCCAGCAGACATCTGTCGCAAATGCAAATGCGACAGACAGACAGGTTTACTAAAGTCTCACTCGTAGTACATATAACAACATATATAACTTCA